ATGTTCTCCTGAGAAAGAATTTCCAAATGGTGGTATAATTAAACAATACAGCTAAATTACCTTATTAAGCTGTAATGCAGTGTTCCTGTTTCTCTCACCTTCACTCAAATCCACAAGTTGCTTTTTGTATCCAAACCCTAACCACTGATGTGTCAGACCAGAAACATCATTTTACCACTTTCATTTGTACCAGTTTCGATAAGGCACAGATACATCTCCATCCTGCTGAGAGACATCCCATCAGAAAACATTTCGATGTGCTCAATCATGCTGTAGGACAGCAACAAACTGCATATTTTGCCATTTGATTTACAGATCTTGTTTGCCACTCGAGCGCACGTCGAGAACGTGGTGGACGACTTGGCTGACTGACTCCTGCCATCTGTGCCCTCATTATAAAACCCTTTTCTAAGTGACTTGCATCTTCTCCTCCTCCTGCCATCTAGATCCAAAACAGTCTCACTGTGTCACAACACATAATGATTGTATTTGCAGTTCCTCCACATTTACTTCAGTATTTCTTTTATTTTTCAACCGACATGTTTTAGACTTTTGGTTGCATATTTTGGCCAGTTAGAAAAAAAACTGGTCGTTTGTAATAGAGTATAATAGATAATGATTGAAGAAGCATTCTCTGAATCTCTGAATCTCAAAATACATGTGGTCTCACATCACAGTATTTGTGTTTGGTTCACACACAGCGTCACCATTTCCTTGCTTTGTTTACGTCTCATGCACCAGTATGTGGTTGCCGTTACATAAAGGTGCAGAGAACCTTCACTATACCTGGAGATCAAGCGTAGAGTTGTCAAACCATAACAAAGTAGCCTGAAAATATAACTGAACATGATCCAAACCTTCCCCAAAGAGGCTTCACTTCCTGAAATCTAATTACTTCACCTAATGAACAAGTACGATCAGCATGTCCAACCTGTTCTTCAAGCCTCTAATCAAACTTGTGCGATTTTACAGATTTAGCGAGACGTCCTTCAGTGGCTCTCTCCTTTTCTTTTTTAACTCATTTAATAAAAGAACAAGTGCCTCTCATGACAGAATTCAGAGCCTTTAGGATTTCATCAAGCCTGAGGGAACATTGGAACACTGGAAAAGGACCCTAGAACTTTTTTTTTGGATCTATTTCAGACCTCCCACCATTTTTTTTTCTTTTTATCCCAGTTGGTTAATGATAAATTTTACAATCTTCAGACTAAAGAACAGCTGTTTTGCAGGTTCTTTGAAATGTGTAGGGGGGGAAAAAAAAACCCGGGGCGTTTCAGTTACAGGTGACCACAGACAAACTCTTTTGCTTTTTTTTTTTTTTTTAATGGAACACCAAATGCACATCGTTTAGTACACATGCCCTCCATTAACACAGTGCAAAACTGAGAAAGACAGACGGAGGTAGATAAAAAAGTAAAGCGAGGAGACTTGAAACACACTGTCACAGCATAATGGCATTAAAACTTTCAAAAGGTACAAGCAACCTCATCCGGTGACATAAATAGGACAGTTTCAACACATTGCGATGCCTCGAGTGTTGCGCCACTTCATTTTTTTTTTTGCTGCGAGGACAACAGCGTGATTAGCAGCTTGATGTCGCAGCAGTTCGTGCTATTCACCGCCTCTGTCTTGCACATAAGTGGATGCCGCCGGAGGCTAGATTAACTTTTGTTGTGTGTATCTGGTTATGTGTGACTGTGTTTATATCTGTGTGGTTTTTCAGTTGTTTGACTTAAAAAGCTAATAGCCTCAAGCTATTTTGGCACCCCGCTTCAATTCTTTATTCAACAAGGCATGTGCTGGTTGAACAGGCAGTGTTTTAGGTTGGTCCAAAACTCTCCTGTTATCAAATACTGATATACTCTTGTATGTTGCTGTAGCTATTCACAGTACAGTCAGTGCGATGTCACTTATGTGCCATGATACCCAAACTACCCATTTCCTCTCTTACTCTATGTGTTATCTAGATACGCAGACCATTTCTAGATTAGCCAGTCTCCAGTTTAAAATGTCTTTTTGAGATTTCTGCCACCAGTACGATATGTTAGAGGGAATCAACTTTCATTTTCACCTTCATTGGAACTCCTTTACACAGAAGAAAATGTTGATGGAGTTCCATTGATTGTTTTTAGTGATTCAAATCACCACAGTGGTTCTCATCATTGATTCCTCTGAGTTGTTGACGGGAGAAAGATTGCAAACACAATCTTTCTGCGTAAATTAAACTCAAACTTCACTTAAGCTTAAAAAGAATGAATAATTTTGTGTGTGTGTGTGTGTGTGTGTGTGTGTGTGTGGATGAACTGACTTTTTAAAATAGATTTTTGAAGGTTTAGCTTAATTGACTTGGTCTAACTTTTATGTATCAGATTATCTGAAAGGAATGGAACAGAGTAATTAGCTGCAAATCCAAACGATCACAGTATTCAGTGTTTCATTTTCTGCTTCATATACAGTATATCTCACATTCCCTGCAAATAATTTGCAATGCTGCAAAACAATAAACAGCTGCCTCTGTGCATCAGCTTTCACAAAAACCTGATGCAGTGTTTGATTGCATTTTACGAAGTCACATAATAGAGCCACAGTTGCAATAAATAAGATTACAGCAAAACATTTTACTAATGAAATACACAAAAAAAATCAACAAATTCAAAGAAAAAAAAACAAAGCAAATTTGATTCTTTAACTTTTCAATCAGCACTTCTTCGACTTTTCTGTGCATTCAAACACCTTTATCAGTTTCCCTGACCATTTCTGTTTTCTTTTTTTCGTGTGTTTTGTTAAAGGGGTCACAGTTAGACTGATGGCAGCGTATCAGTATCTACACTGATAGGGTCTGAGTGATTCTGTCATCAGAGAGTGTACGCAAGGACCTATGCAACGTATCTGCTGCGTTCATACAAATTTTGAGCCACATGCAGACACTCATAGGGGAGTTGAAAAGAATGCACCTCATGTAGACCCTCCGCAGATGCTCACACACTCGCTGAAAACAATGGCCTCCTTGTGGACGTGCACACAGATTGCTGCAGACACCACGGACACATAGCAGGACATATTCCACTCATGTGCAGTGAATCGAACAGTATTACAAGCATGCACACAACTGCCCTAGCAGCGTAGTGACCATGTGAACTGTCCACACATACAAATGTTGGCCTGCACACACTTCAAAATCCAGGGTGTGCATGAGCAGCAGCATTGCACATTCACTTAGTGCCAATCTGTAGTATAATAACGTCTGAAATGTCCCCACTTGAGAGTATAATCCTGACTTTAGAGGTCTGAAATGCACTCAAACACTTAGACAGTGGAAAATATGCTGGGCCTGACGAACCTGAGCCATACTTTAGAAAATAAGCATCAGCAGCAAAGCATTTTAAAAAGTATTTATATCTATATTGATAAGATTCAACATGGTGAAGTTTTATGCATTCATTCTTTTCAAACCTTTCATACGGTAGATGGTGTATAATGAAATTCACACTAAATAGCAAAAATTCTGTTCGTTGGTTTGCCAGAGAGAGTGCCGTGTGCATACTAACCGTCTCACTTCTAGATTCTACACTCCTCAGACCACTGTTCCAGTTTTATATAAATTATCTTGGTTAATATTCCCCTGATGCAAAAACTCACTTTTTGTACGGATGGCCTTGGTATTTACTGAACAGCATCTGTGCAAATTTAGACCATCGCACATCTTCAACTCTCCTCCTACGCTAGTTAAATACCTTGGCACTATAAAAGCTTTAGTGTGAAGTTGAGCTGTTTACAAATTCTAAGAAGAAACGTAATAGATATCTTTGTTGTGGTTACGAATCAGGGCAAACTTGCTGACCATGTATAATTATAAAGGTTTCATCCTTGATGAATCTTTATCTTGTAAACTCCACATTCAGCAACTTGTATGAAAACTGAAGATGAAATTGATTCCAAAACAAAGATTATGTCCGTTTCTTAGCTGTAAGACAGCGGTGTCGGATGTTTTCCGCACTTTTCTTGACTGTGAGGATATACTGTATATGCATGTCACCTCTCAGGGCCTACCTTGCTTAGAGACTGTAAATAAAGGGGCTCTGAGTGTCAGCGCACATAGAAAGCCTCTCACACATCTTTGTTTCCTGCCCACTCAGGTCAGCTGGTCATGTTTAAGCTCCGGCAGATTAAAGCACAGATTTTTATAATAATAATAATATATAGCGATAGATGATATTCATATATAAAGTCATTCTTGGGCTCCAGCCGTCTCATTTTTCTTATGTTCCTTAAAGAAAAATTTGCTCTTTGCTCGTAGAAGTCATTTTTATTAACGGTTTCCAAAATTTACACCGAATAAGGTAAAGCAGCTTTTATACATGTTGCACCTTCTGCATCTTTTGCAAATTGCAAAACAGACGTTGATGGCAACGTGTGAAAACCTGTCAGACAGTTTTGTGTGTATGTTCACACGCTGCATTGCAACAAAGAGGCTGACCTTTACTGTGAGCAACAAATACAATCAGAACCATTAGCAAAGCATTGAGAAACAAAAAGACTACACAAAAAAACTCATCACACTTTGTGCCCTGCGTGGACACTACCTTAGGCCGATGATTGAAACAGCTGTGACTGTGATGTGATTTGCATGCTATGACCCGCTGTTGTAATCTATCCTTCTCACTGATGACTCCCTTTCCAGCCTGGAGCTAAATAACCCACCAACTGTTCCCCTGCAGGGTTCACTCCATCACTGCTCCCTTCACCTGCCGCCGAAACCCTGAAGCCATCGTGCAAACAGTGCTCCAGGATGCCTTGTGCTTTAACTGATGCAGAGAGCCTACGACACGCAGAGAGAAGGAAAGTATAGACCAGGTTGGTTTATCTTCAAGACAAACAATGGCTTTTACAAGGAATTAATCCACACTGTCAACTGCAAACTGTAAATCATCAGCTGTGTGTGTTTGTGCTGCCTGCAGGACAAAAAGAAGGAATTCCTCCCATTAGACAATCTGCAGTTTTCATAGACTGGTGATGTCGGTTGTTTCGTCCTCCGTGTCCCCCACCAGAGAGTAGGTTTGTGATATTTTGCCTCTGTGCTGCCCAGTGTGAGGGAAAGTGTCTCTGCTCATGGTAATGATCTCTCTCTTATCAGCTGACAGACCATATATTCTGTCGCCCGAATGCCTCCTCAGAGGCAGAACGTCTATTTCCACAGGCTTGATTCCTAGAGGTAATGATCCTGCGCTCTCATTCACAGAGTGTCTCCTCGTTGGCAGGAAATCTGCTCCTTGTGTGGAGTGCTGGAATGTGTTGAGCTGGCAGGGGAACAAGGTGCTGTCGCACACACTGGGACTGGACCGACACCAATCCGAGATGCTGTGGTCGGATCCCGCTCGGCTGTCTGAACTGTCTCCGACCTTCTGGCCCAGTCTCTGGCCTCGAGCCAAGCCCAGCAGCCGGGGAATCGTAACCATGGATGCAGATGCTGCCACGGCAGCTGCAATATGGTGCCGCTCAGCAGAAGTCACTTTGGTGTCTGTAATCACTGCAGCAGGAGACGCCACTGCAGCTGAGTTGGTGAATGAGGAGGTGCTGAAGAGAGCAGCAACTTTCTCGTAGTATCGCGTCCGTATGACCTTCGCTGAGCGGTACAGATCCCCAATGAAGCAGTAACAGATGGGGTTGAGGCTAGAGTTTGTCAGGCCCAGCCACTGAGCAAATGGTCGCGCCTGCAGGAGCCATGACGAAGGCGTCTGCTGGCAGTCAATCCAGAGGTCAGTCAAGTAAAGCGGCAACCAGGACACTGCAAACAAAAGCACCAGACACACCACCATCTTGGCGATCTTCTGGCGCGTCTTCAAGCGTGATGCGTGAAGAGCTTGGCTGCGAGGATCAAGATCAGCAAAAGTGGATTTCCTCCCTCCCCAAAGTCGCCTGCCGGTCAGGAACCCAATGGTGAGGTTAAAGGTCACTGGCAAACAGTAGAGCATCACAAACAGCAGCACGTTGTATCTGTGGAAGAAAAGGGAATCTTTATTAAAAAAATGAGATATTCAGTTAATTCTCTACTCAAAGTATCCATTGTTAGGGTTAGTCTGTGAGTCTTTGACATTTTTGTTCCATCTAAAACATGCTCCATTTGCAGCTTAAGCACACAAACACAATGGACTCTCGTCGAGAGTTTTTAATTTGCTCTTGTTTTCGCAGACAAGATACAATGATCAATATTGCAATATTACAATCAGCAGTATTGTTTCAGAGCTCTCGAGAGAATTGAGTTCCTGGGTAATCATCACTATTTTTAACACTTTGCAGCGTACATTTGAAAGGTGATTCACAAACAAGGAAGCCATAATGGCGCACATGGTGAAAGTACAGCATGTACATAATAGAAGTAATTGTAAGCCACTTAAGAGCAACTCAAGATTATGGTGAAAAACAGGGAACTAGAGAAGGACAAAGAGGGGAAAAAAAGCCCGTCTAAGTCTGTGTTTTAAGTGAAATGAATACTAAATTTGTCATTCTGATTTCTCAAGCACAGCATTTCAACACCGCACAGCTCTGACGAGAAAGTGGGTATCTGTATATAAAACTAAAATGATTGTTACACCTAAACCAAACTTAACAACTAGGATGCATGGGTAAGCTGTTTAGTTTCATACTGCTGTATCTCTTTTGTTACAAGTTGCTCAAAAAACATGGCAAAGACTACGGACAACAATTAAACAGTCATCCAGCACATGAATTGCACACTTATTTGCTTGCCTGAACAGTGAGCTATCTGTGACAGCCTCCTCTAGGTCAATATGCTCAATTGAACATTATGAGCCAATCACAGGCTACAGAGCTGGGCAGTATAAAAACTACAAGCAATGGACGTCCACACTAAACCAGCCCAGCAGCACTAAAGGCTGACTCTCAGCTTGGTGTGTCAGAACCCTCAAGCTCCATTTCCACTTCCGACCATCATGGATGAACTGATTCTGGACCCTGAAAAACAAACTAGGTCATTCAGTTTGGGTACGTTCTGTAGTCTGCTGTCAGAGTACCTACCCTTGTTTGAGGCGATGCTGAGGCCACGCCTCCTGACAGACCAAGATGGTGAACGTCTCAAAGCTGATCTCTCGTCGCTGGTTCATCACTGCAATTGGAGCGCACATCATCGCAGACAATATCCACACTACAGCAACGGTTGCCAAGATCCGGCGGCGGGTAAACATGGAGCGAGCTCGCAGCGGTGATCGGACACTGTAGTAACGATTCACGCTGATCACCGTCAGCGTTAGCACGCTGGCTGAGACCGAGATGGCCTGAGTAAAGGGCACGGCTCGACACAAGAGGTCACCGTAGACCCAGGCAGTGTAGATCTGGTTTCCCAGAGTGATGGGCATGCACACGCACACCACAGCCAGGTCACACACTGCCAGGTTCACCAGGAGACTGCGTGTAGCGCTGACGCTGGCTAGCCGCCGACTGCGCCTGCTGGTGAGGACTCGCAACGACATTAAATTCCCAATGAACCCCAAAATGAAAGACAGGCAGTACATGATGGTCAAAGCAATGGTGCTGGGCTCATGGATGGTCCAGAGCAGCATGCTCTCCAGGTTTGCCAAGTCATTGGAAGAAAAGTTGGAAAGAGACAAAGGAAAGGAGGAGCTGGATGGCTGCCTAAAGGTTGAGGAGGAGGAGGAGGTGGTGGAGAAAAAAGGGAAGGAGATGAGGGAGGAGTATGGACCAAGGGTGGAGGGCAGTGGAGAGGGCAGAGGCTGATGGAGAGAGGCAGTTGGAGAACTGAAAGTAGATGGCAGCATCAGAGCGCTGTGGAAGCTGTAGGTGTGGTTGAGTTTTTTCTCAGAGCCGGCGTACTGCATCAGTGGGGAGAAGCTGGACTGAACTGAGCTCCAGTCTGACGGCTGGTCCTGGGAACGATCCATGCTGCATCCGAGTGACAACAAAACCACAGCAGGTGAAAAGTGTGGATATCTCTCAACTGTAAGGCTTACTGTAAAGGTTTCCCTTGGTCCTCATTAAAATCCAATCATACAGACAACTACAAAGAAGCAAACAAAACTCACTAGTAAAATCCAAAAAGGCTGGACGTCCTCACCATCGTCGCCACATGTTCTAGTCTTGTGTTCTGCAGGTCCTTCTGAAGTGTGTGGGTAAAAAAATGATGGTTTCCCATCTCAAGCCACATCCGGTGAGTCAGCTGGAGTCATGATGCTGCTCAGTACTGGTCCACCAGTGCAGATCTTATATAACGTATGTGTTTCATTCCTCTGGGGAGTGGCTGTCTGAACCTGATAATCCACCAACAGACATGAATAGTCTTTCTCACCTTCAAGGAAGGTAAACCTCATGCAGACCGTCCCCCTCCTCGCCCCCTCTTACTCCTTGCATCTTCAGTCCATCACACTGATGCAATCAGATCTGTTTGGAGACACACCACAGATATCAGAGGCTATTTCCACCTGCAGCTGTATTAACAGCTCTGTGGCAGAGCAAACAACAGCCAATAACACATTCCTAGAAAGAAAGACACTGAAATGCTTTTAACATGTCCTGCTGGCTCGTTTGGAGCACAGCTTCTCCCTGTTTGGCCACTGAAGCATCCGATGAGGAGGAAACTAAGGAGAGGAATGACTTGATATTTAATGTTGTTTTTAGATCTGGTGTAGACTAAGTGCGGCTCTGCTATTAAATCTTAACTTATTCATTGTGAGCTGGAACATTTCCATTAAACGTCTTTATTTTTGAATCAAGAGCCAGACATAGTCAGATGTTACACTGTAGAAACTTTAATTCTAAATCAGCCACATCT